GCAAATTAGAATGTAGGCATACTTCATAAATATTACAAACATGAATAACAAAAATACAAAACAAATCTATGCATCGATAAATTAAAAGTTAAATTTATAAAAATTTACGTATTTTTTATTCATTTAACCATGCTTTCGATCACTTGGATTATGGCGTCTAACCATAATATGAAATTAATAGAAAATAATGTGAAAGGAAGTGGTCGTGGCTAATTTAAGTTGTTATCGCGGCGTTAGACTGCAGGAACCAAAGACCACAAACAAATCACTGTCATGATAGCCGGTCTACAGGCAGAGATTTTATCTCACCCTTTTAAATAAAGAAAGCAGCAGCACTCAAAAAATCCTTGTTACTTTAAATCTATTATATTTTGTTTATTTCCAATTATTGTAAATGTAAGGGCCTACATATAACCTACTAGCAAAACCTCCCACTCTGACAAATTCTTTATGTTGACAATCTTATGAATAATCCTACATATTCCACATGGCAAAATAAAAGTAGCCGAAAGTGTCCTTTCTCGCCGAGGTTTTCTTCAGATAAACCGGACGGAAACAATTCAAATGTTTATTCATTTCGCCCTTCTTGTGTTCGTACATGCCGTTTGATCAGTGTTCACAGTGAACGCTTGACCCATTAAACGGTTGTCATGCAACGAAATAGCAGTTGGCACAGATCGATCCCCCCCCCCAAAAAAAAAAAACTGTTATGATCGCCCAGCAAGGAGACAAGAAACAGTGGACGTCAATAGCTTACATAACCTATAAGATACACACACAAGGCATTTCCACCTTTGTTTTTACGGTTCTGGGCAGAACTGTACAAGTACTCCTGCTCACTGAATTGACAGAAGTGATGTGAAATATGTTAAAGTAGCTAAAGAGTTCTACTTCTTGAGTTATAGGTCTAAGACATGAATATAAATTACAAATACCAGAACATAAAAGATATGAACTGGGAGTAGAATGGAATACATTGCACTCAAGACGAGATTTGAATTTTTCACGGGGGTAAAAAGACCACAGCCCACAACAGGGAAGTTCATGAGTAGGTAGTTATAATATTAGCAAAGTTGGATGAGCGATGTTTAAATGTAGCTACGCCCTACGTTTGGAGAAACAAGAAAAGGGGCAGATTTTGACGAGGAAGCCTCGTGGATTGGTACTCATTCGGAACACCGAGCCGGTGAATGGAGAATAATACTGAAATGGGTCTCAAAGGACATATTACCCATGTTCTGTACGTAGAGTGGATTTAAGTGGCTCAAGATCCACAACCACATATAATACTTCTCGATTACAGTCTGATTTTATGACTTTCTTGCCCTTGTCACACAGGATGTAAAGTAATATTTTATTTGGCTCCAGAAACATTACCTTGTTCACAAACAATGCCGATAGAGTTCAAGATGGCTTCGCTCCACTCTGTTGGTTCATTAGACTCCGACTTATTTACATTTCTGTGTAAACGATTTGACAACTCTTGGCCAACTGTTAGAATCACTACTATAAGTGTAAACGTAATCCAAACTGTTTTACTAAACGGCAGATAGTAGATGATGGACACCTCAGATAAAGACGGTTTCAGAAACATAAACGCGCCCCTGAAAACCAAGACAGATACCACTTGTATTTTGAGCCATGTTATGATGACTGAATTAATAAATTTAATGTCATAGTTGCGATACACAAGATTCTGAACATGCAATGCAGAGTAAAGTAAGAACTGTATATATTCCAGGTTAATAACATCATTCCATAAATACAAAGTTCTGTAATTACTAGTCCAGAACTGCAAAAGAAACTGGCGTTGTTGAGTAACTTGTATAACCAATAAAACTTGCTATCCCTCAAAAAAGTTTCACGTATCCTCTGAAAGCGAAGGGAAAAATCTGTATAAGTTATTTTAGGTCATTTTTGGCATTTATGAAAAATACGCATTCTTGGAGGCAATAGAACGAGATGCACAGTTTAGTGACAGTTTAATTCTCGTTATTTTCTTATTCATGTATTCTTCATGTTTCGAAATCCAAATAATGAAAATTTTTTTGGATACTTATTACATTTGCAGTGAAATTAAAGACACCATTCCGGAGCCTGAAGACGGAAACAGGAGAAGCCTCAGAAACACTGTAGACAAAATCTTTACAGAAAGCGAACAATGTCCAGGAAACATTCTTATATCATGTTGCCTAACCATCACAAAGTTTAGTAACAGTACATTGATACGTAACGTGCAGCGTTGTCAAAAACATTGACCTGAGAATTTTTGATCTCGTTAACAGATGATGTTATATTTTGTTTCACTGCTATAAAATTACTAAGGATTAAAAGATTTTGAGAAATAATGCACTAAATATAATGCCAACAGCCTCAACAGTCCATACGAAAATTACTCACTACTGATCATTATATAGGATTCCTTACACTCGCTCCTAAATTTTAAGTGAAATAATTCTAATTAATATTGATAGAACTATGATAACAAATATGAAATTAACGATTGAATTTTTACCTGAATGTTACTATTTCACCAGCGTAGTCTACCATATCCATACGAGTCTCCTTAATCAGCAATCCTGCAGCTCCTATCTCCACTTCACCACGCTGCATAAGACCTACGATACCTGTGTAATTATTTGTTTCATTAACTGGGAAACCCCATGTCTCTGACATCGTCAGGTTCATCCTGCGCAAACAGACACAGCAGTTTCATAACATCTTTGATATGTATGATTTGAGGTTTTCACAGCGATGAGTATGAAGACAGAAATAATCAACTTATTTGATGTCCGTTAAAAATAAAAGGCAAGGAGATAAGAGAGGCAGCAGATTTGGAAGCACATACTGTCCATACTACAGACATTATTTCCCAGCTGCAATACGTTGTAGTTCGCTGTCTCAATTCTTACGTCGTTAATGTGTTTGGTTTACGTAGAATACAGGTTTGTTTTCCTTCTATCGCCAAGCAAGTGACACAATTTGGTCCCAGGTACCGAAGAAGCTGACAGGACCACGGGTTCGTCAACGTACCTTACCAGGCCAGTAGGCTCCAAGAGACTGTAGGCCCTGATAGTGCCATTGTTTGTCCGACGTCATGTCGAAGACAACTGAGAGCTCATGGTGCTGGCTTGTGTTGTACCGAAAATAGTACAGTACAATGGAAAACAAACGTGAAAATGCTGTTTCGCTACAACATGCAACACTGTTCTAAACGTCTGGTATGGAGACTATTTTTCATAAGGAAATAATACAGGCTACAGAACTTACCTGAAGTTAAGCATCTCTGAAACATAGGCCATCAGTGCGTAATTATTTTTACTTAATGTATTCAAATGTTTGTAACGCATGTCGAAAAAGTGTTCCCATGGATCTCCTACTACCTGCAAGTAGAAGTTGAAGCAGTCCCTGATCGCTTGTAACGCCAATCAACATGGAAAATCGCCACAGCGTACATTCATATATAAATCATTTTTAATTATATAAATTATTTCCAGTTTTACAAACATTATGAACAACTACAAAGTTGTTTAATAATATTACACATTTTAATAAAGAAATATAACATTTCTTATTAAAAAGTGGCATAAACAGATACAAAAAGAAAGTTAAAATCGCAATTATTTCTACAACACTATATCCAGAATTAATATCGATTAACAATCCTATGCCATAGAGTAAACATGGATGATCGGCGGTCATTCCAGTGACTGAAAAATCTATGAAAGACAAATATGAATACAGTACTATTAACGTTTCAGATTAAGAGAAAATACCACTTTATAAATAAATAATTTGCGATTAAATGACAATGTACATTGAAATAAAAAGTTCCATAAATCATATCCTATATTCATAACAACGCATTTAAATTTCCCCACCTTCAAGTCATCAAAATTAACAGATGAAACGCACACCATATTCCCAGCCGAATGTTATACAGTAAAACCTCTCTAAGTTGGACACTTGGATTCCACGAAAATGTGTCCAACTTGTAGAGGTCTCCAAGATAGAGGTGTGTCCAACTTGAGGGGGTTTTACTGTACATACTCTTCTGTCAGACCATCCTGCTAATGACAAATCAGAAGTGTAGTCTACAGAAACTACAGATAATAAGAGTGAAAGACAACCATAACTTTGTAATAGAAGCGCATTCCAAGCTGTATCATCATCAGTATAGTACTCACAATGACCGCCGTTTTGATCTGCACTCCACCATAATTATCTCTCCGAGGTCCTGTGGGCCAAACTTGTCCTGGACTCCAGTGACGAGGCGATGTGACGGTAAGATTCTGCCCACTCACAAGTCTGTAGACATCTTGTAGGAGGACCTGGTCAGGTTCCGGGATTGCCAAAGTCACATGACTGTCGAGTACCAGGTCAAGTGGTTCCAGGGCTCTCATCAGTGATTCACTGCTTAAAGCATTGTTATTTGGTGCAGAAGGCTCTTCGGATATTGGTAACAGCAACCAGTGATGTAGACTGCTGAAATGTTTTTTCTTGGAAGCCTTGAACATCATAATATAATTCAACAAGTGGGGAAATGTGTACTCCAATAATGGAATGCATATAGTTTACATTTCCATCGTTTGTTATTTTGAATCACTCATTGGTCTTTATGTTGATTTAAGTTCTTGCAGATTGTGGTCAATGCTCTGGTCTGGTGAGTAGTGCACCGCCAGACCACAAAACATTTATTTAAACATGGTGGCAAATTTCAGGCTCCATTAAAGTCGAACTATCTTTCTCCAGAAGTTTGTTAGTGCGAATACTACACATACATAAATAATATGTTGACAAAGCCAAATGAATTACAAACGATTGCATTGCGCATATTATTATTTGTATTCTTTAATATACAATACAGTAAGCATATGCAATGATGATGTAATGTATTTATTCGCATCCGAATTGTCTACAATTATGCGCCTATGTATTCTGTCATTTTCATTAAAAATTTACTGAATATAAATAACGTAATTACATGTAATATGTAAAGAAGGTACCATTAAAAATGTCTTAAAGAATATAATTTTTTCTAATAAAGTTGGCTTACCTCCGCCATAAACTGAACACTGCCATCACATGCAACATCCACAATTACTGCCAACCGGTAACATTCAGTCTTCAGTAACAAAGACTCAGAAAGAGTTTGACCCGGTAAAAATACTGACATTGGAATTCCTTCGTCAGATAAGGTCTTGTAGAACAAAGCAGCATCTACAAGAGTACAATGTTACATACGGAACACAAAAATACACAAAGATCCTACAGCCATAAAACTGAGTAATTATTGCTTATGTAGAGTTATCGCCTTAACAACTAATATGCTTATGTTAGAACTTTCTGATAAGTGATTTTTAAATATGCAGGAAGCAATCTGTTTTTTAAGTCCCGGCTGTTACTGTTAAAGTGTGACGTCATGGAAATCCGCTAGATGGATAGGAAATTATTAAGTTCTGAAAAACACGGACGTGAAAAACTTAGCCTAACTTACCTCAGTAAAGTAGGTTGAAGGCTCGAGGGGACTTTGCAGCCATATGCCCATCATTCATCGAAAAGAAATCTATGTAACTCAGTCAGTGTACTGGAACTTCGTAATAAAAACTAAACACTTCCACACACATTTTGGTAAACTGCAGCCAAATGACGAGCATGGACAGTAGATGCAACTCTGGACTTCACTATAAATATGCGCATATTAGTACAAAATTTTCGAGACTTTTCTTACCTTTCTGTTGACATACGAACGCCGCTATAGACGATACTTTATTCAGAGACGCAAATGACGTAACTGCAGATAATATGAATCGGTCAGAAGAACAATGTTCCCAGCACAAGAAATGTATTAGTACTCCTAGATACAGCCACATTTATAAAAATATTGTTCGATGATAAGAAGTAAAACTGAAACGAAAATCAGAAGTGTAATGCATAGACTACATACAATAAAATGTCATGGAGGTTCCTCAATGGTGGGCCTTAAATTTCAACCACATCAAAACTCGAGCGTCAAACTCTGTTTTACCTAGAGCAAATAAACAAGTAGATAACAAGGAAATAATTTACATTTCTGTCAATTGAAACTGTGTCTAACCTACCTTAAATAACTGCAGAAAGTAAAATGACGCTTGTTAATACGCGTTTCTCTGTATTAAAACAAACTTTATAGACCTTCACAGACCGCCTTAGATGAAGCTTATAAGTTTACAAATACACGACTTCGAATTACCACGTGTGATGTTAATTTTATAAAATGGAATTGTAAGTTGTGGAAAGAAATTCAGAATTTAATCTGAATACGTTTCTTCACTAGTTTCAGCGAGATCAATCTGTTACCATCAGCGACATTTTTCCGAATGACATCTTGTAACGCGCGTGTTACAAGTTCGCGAACGGAATTACATAACTTGAAAATTGCTCATGCAAATTGCAGCCATAAATTAGGTTGTAAACATCTGTGCTTACTGTCTTTGACATATTGGCAATTGCTTGTACTTATTTAAGCAGCAATTTCGAGCAGAGGTCTTACAAAACCTACGTCTTCCATTTCATTATTTCTTGAGAATAAAATTTTAAATAGAACAGAATTTGTTTAAAGTACTGACGCCTACTTTGTAGTAAATGCTTTCGTATATAGGCAGAGACCAGCAAAACTGCAAATGAATACCTATGCATCGTAGTATCCTATTTTGTACCACATTGCCAGAGATTATCAGCCATAATATTGGGGTTGGACTCTTAATATGTGCACTCGTAGGTAAACACCAACCTTTTGGAGGAGCATAATTCCTCTATATTTAGCCCCGAAGATGGAGACAATATATTCCTCAGAAAGTCTGTTAACTATCTACGAGTCCACAAGGCGTCAAAACCCAGAACAACGTCATCGACGTTTCAGGTAAAATTTCCAGAGTTGTGGGATGTTTGTATTGTATTTTATGCACCAATCGTTTTAATGATGACCGTCTTTGTTCTGCAATAGGAGTAACCATATGAAATCCAATTTGAAAAAATAACATGCAATATTTTGCACTTCAATTTTGCATTATAACCCATTGGCATTCACATTCATTTACTGCTAATAATATAAATCTTAAACCTGGACATTTCACATAAATTTCTTCTAAACTTTAAGACGTGTAGTCTGACTGGCGTAAAAATAGAATACAGTACATACGTTAAAATACATGTAACTTCTTTACCTTCACGATCTTTATTCTATTCTAATTTGTACATATACACTGTAATGTTTAAAGACTGAGGAGCCTACCATAGCTACAGCCTTTTGTATTGAATCCTATTACCTTTCAGCATATACCAACTCAATACATGAATCTAGAAGTGTCAATTTCACAGGTATACTGTTAGACATGGAAATAAGATGGAGTTCTTATCTGGTCTAAACATAATATAATCTCCATAGATCTTAGGGTTTTTCCGTAATTGTATTCCGTCTAATAAACTCTGGCCCTTTTTCACAAGTACAATGTCTATCTACACAAATCTGATATAAATGTATGGCCTATGTTTTTTCACTATTGCATATGGAATCCAATACAGATATGAAAATCAGAAATTCAGGGAAAAGAACAAACATTCGAATCTAATATATGTTATCACTTGGGGAAAATGCACTGAATAACAATAAAAAGGTCAGTATCTAACATAGAGAAATATCGGATGTAAACTGAACAGTAACTTTAGGAATCAGCCAAAAAAATGCAAATAAACTAGTACAAGATCTTTCAACACGTAAATATGATGGAAGTTGTTGATACCTGAAACATTCTAAAATTGTTTATCATGAACCACAGTTCGCTCTCCAGAGACCTCATAACTGCAGGAATTCCTTTCTGATTTAGCTAATTGCCTCCTAAAATTCCCTGTTACCCCATCAAATCTTTCCACCATAGGAAAATGCTTGGGATTATAAACTTACCTAAAATTGATACTACGTATTATTTATCAATACATCAACAAACGGAAGGTGTTACAGCTGAAGCAAGGCTCAGAAGGAAGGATTTCTTTTACTTCTAATGCTGGCGGTTATAATAATTTGTGGTGGCATGGATCTGTATATAAGAGTGCGAATACTGCAAATGTACTGCTAGAAATGTCAATACGTCAATGCCGACTCAGTTTGTGTATGAATATTGGGGGGATGTTTGGTAGCTCCTGCACTGTGAACAGTGAAGTCTTTGGCATGAGACCTCCAGAACGAGAATAAAGACAGCCAAGACCAAGCCATACAGAAAAACCAACAGTGCTGGATAAATATCCTGTAGACGTACGCTTGTAAATCCTTCGGTGTTGCCATGGCATTTAGGTTTCTGAACGATCCAGTATTTGTATTCTCGATCGGTTATCCCTGACTCCTTCAGCCAACGGACGCTGAAATATTAATAAATAATATGTTCTTGGTTCGCATTCACCATAAGATATTTGCATTTATATTATCATCAGTAATCTTCATTATAAAGCATCAGCAATACCAGTAGTATATGTCAATTATTAAACGACATTCTATGAAATTTAAAATCGATACAGTGTCAAATATAATACGAAAAGTTTATGGATAATAAATGTGAATAAATTTAGAAAGAATCGGCCATGAACTATTCTATCTCTAGACTGCAGTTCCTGATAAACATTACAAAAATGTTTCATTAGGATATCTGATTTCCCAGACAGAAATCGATCCCTGGACCTGATGAATGTAACCTTGTTTCAAACATTTTGAATGAAATTTAAAGTTTTTCTTTAAGGCTATTGTTATTACCGTTGTCTGACGTGTTCTTTGTATGGAGTGCCCTTCTTCATAGGAAAACCTAAATGAACAGATGAAAACATCTTAATGTTCTTCAGTCTACACTTTTCATATTCTTCGTACGTCTCGCTGATGATTTTGAAAGCATCTGCATCCCCATGAAATGCGTACAGTCCTTCACGCATTTTCTCGACCCCAACCTCTGACGTAGTGAAGGCTTTATGGTAAGGCTGGGTGAACAGGTGCTTGAAGTATAGGTTCTTGATATCAGCGTCTGTTGTTTCCTGAGAGATAAATAATTTTTTCATAACCAACAACTAATTAACAAATTAACCCCAATTTATAGATACCAAACAACCGGTCAAAAATGTTTGACCACAATCGATTTCTGTAAGTGATGTTGATTCTTGAGGTTTCTCTACCAGATAGTTGATTGTTCATGTTTGTTCATTTGTTAGTTAGTGATCCAGTCTCATATTTTATTTAAGGAAGCATTTTTAACTACACAGATAACATATAAACCCCTAAATAACAAAGCATGTTTAGGTACTTGAGGCTACTAACAACGTCCTTCAAGATGGACTGTTAATAAGATCAGTTGGTTAATGGCAACGGGAATGTGCAGGAGAGGTATCAGAACTCACATTAACATAATTTATATTGTAGGAAATATCGTTCATGGTAACAGTAAACGGACTGTTCATAAGGTCCTTTAAAGAATTAATTGCAGTGCTGGTTGTCTGCAACAAGGATACAATGATGGCCGAATAGGATGTAGTGAGAAAAAGTGACAACAGCAGAAGGGACAGAAGTATAATCCTCGATGATATCCTCTGTGGGTCGCGAGTGGTACCTGCAAGTGAAGAAAGTCGACCTTTCAAAACACAAAGCACGTATAAACACAAGTGGAAAGCTATACCGTATAATATATTTTATAAATACATTCATAGGCCTTGATGTTCAATCTTTCCTGATATACTGTTGCAAATACATTATTGGAAATAAAACAGCGTTGCGAATGCCACACTGAGTAGTGTCCACCATTACTCTCTGTCTTGCATTTCATGAAATATTTACCACGTCGAACAATTTTTAAATGTAAGCTGTGGATTTTAATCAAATGTTGGCCAATATGATATTTAAGCCTAATCTAACTAGTTAGGTTTTTACAATGAGCAGCCTGTTAGGCGAATTCGCGTCCGAAAGTTGCAAAAATTCGCCTGTTTTCGCTATGCCTGTCTTTCTTTCCTCGTAAGCTTGATTGGATGTTGTACTCCAGTCTAACAAAGATGTTCAGGATAATTGTCTCTGTTCTGAAAACCAAACAAACAAGTAAGTATATTTTACCGTGGGGGCAAATTACCAACTTGGCGAGATTTAAATTAGGGGTATTATACGCTGCAATTGCACCATAAAATGTTCAATATAATTAAACACGCACTTTCAAAGCACCATTATTAAAATTAAATTGCACAAATATTTTAGCATTCACAAACGTGGTACAACAGACGGACAAAACTCATAAAGCTTACATAAATGGTAACGACACGCCAATTTGCTAAAAGCCGTAAGTTCCCCCACTCAACACACAAAATTTGTGGTGCTTATCATTATAACTACGTTGGACAAACCTTCTTGGCAGATGATTCCAATAGCTGTGAAGAAGAAATCGCTCAAGAACATAGGCCGCGTTCCTCTCGGGCCATCAATTCCCCCTTCTGTTCGTTGAGAGACGTAGAGGGCATAAGAAAATACAGCCATCGTAACAAGGTACGTGACCCACACAGAACGACTGAAAGGAAGTGTGTAGATGTTGGAGACGTCAGACAGAGACGGTTTCAGGAACAGAAATGCGCCCCTGTAAAAAATTAACTGAAATGATCCAGAATATAAAGACAGGCTGAATTACTTAACAAATTTCACGACCAAGCACTTGCGACTCATCAGGAAGGACCCAACGTAAATCGTCTTCTAACAAATTCATAATTTATTTGTAATTACTACAGCAAGTACAAATATTACATAAATTAAATTGAATTAATTAATAAGTTGATTAATTAAATTATCCTAACTCAACTTAAATTGTCAACGAATTCAGATTTGTTGAAAAAATATAAAACTATATCAAAATACTATAAATTTCTTTAGCTTCCATGTCAAAAATAAGTAGTTTTACTACGTGAAAATATCGTGTGGCCGAAAGATTTATAACCCTTAGAAAGTGACATTAGGCCATACTTTCATACATTTTGATATAAATTATGATTATAAAAATTCATCGACAAATAATATGTAACATATTGAAAATTGTAAGTAATGCAAATATTTACCCAATATAACTTTCTCACCATTTTCTAAAAATTTCAACACGCTGACCCATCAAGTAAATGTCATTTTAGTGTTGGATTATGAACAAATTAACTACATAATTTGACATTAAAACACAGGATTTAGAGAACTGGAACACAACTAAATACACATAGAGACTTGTGAATGTTTTATGTTTAATAACGATGTGATATTTGTTGTGTATCAATAAGAATCTCCGACAGGCACTTCAATAAGTAGGTTTACTTGAAAATCAAATCAAATGGAAAAAAGTAAGTCAAATGAAGTAGGCCTAACACAGTGATAGTCTCGGTCGAAACTTACATAAAATTTACACATTTTAGTCGTGCAAGCCTTAGCTAAAATTACGTACATTTTACTCATATTTCATGACCTGGTTTCCAGTATTTAAATACTCTGTCGTTACACTCACTCGAAGCGCACTGTTTCCCCAGCATAGTCGATGATATTCATACGAGTTGGTTTGAATAGAAGGCCGACAGCGGCTATCTGCACCTCTCCACGTTGTAGCAAGCCCATTGCTCCGCCATATCGGGCCGTGTTCCTGATCGGATATCCCCAGGATTCAACTGGAGTTACGTTCATTCTGGCAGATCCATTAAAAGGATTAATAAAATAACTAAATATTTACGATACCAAATGTCCATCTTCGTCTTCCGCTTTGTAACGCCACGTAAACTTGATACAAATGTTTCGCATTGACATACTGCCTCCATCCTGAAATCTGAAGTGCTTCAGTCCTGAAAATGGAGGTAGCATGTTCCTCCGCAACGTTAGTATCTGATATCTATCTACAAGTTCATATGGCATTAAAACTCAGAATGCCAACATTGAAATGTTCCATGCGATGGGAACTTCAAATCACACCTAAAGTCTTAAAAAATTGACACGTACAAGTTAGTCAGATGACAACAGGATGTGGAATACGTTATAATAATGTAATACATATTTTCAAATATAATTTACATTAACAGTTTATAGTACATAAAGACAAGGAAAACTTTATGAACATTGCTCAGAGTGCATGAACTAAAATATTTTATATGGTACTATTACCTGAAATTTAGCATTCTGGAGACATATTCTGCAAGGGTGTAGTGAAATTTTGACTGAGAATTGATGTGCTTATAGCGCCAGTCCAGGAAGTTCTCCCACTTATCGTCTTCGGTAACCTAAATGAAAAAAAGTCTGAATCTAAACACCAGTTAATATGTAAATACTCGACAAGAATACAGATTCTATGTCAGCATACCTCTTCCATTTATACTCCATAATGTGAATCATGGGGAATAAAAGTCACATACATTTCCAACACCTTAGTTACTGATTTTGAACTTTTAGATGACCACAAATACAGGCTTTAAATATAGGTTCTACTAAAGGAATTGCGACTTTATGAATTCATTAAACACAAAAGCAACAATGCCTAAGATTGTGGATTATAAAATTATCCCGTGGCCAGTACCGGAAAGAATTCAATGATGATGGTAGCAGAAACTGACAACTGAAGTCGAAAGACGTCGACAAACAGCCAAAGTGCTTGCCAGTTTCTTAATAATGATACTGATTATAATGACGATACTCACTACAGCTGTTGTGGGAAAAACAATTCCTCTGTAATTGTCTCTCTGTGGACCAACTGGAAATCCTTCTATCTGTCTCCAGTGACGAGGTGGTGTGACGGTAAGAGACTGCCCATTTACAAGCCTATACACATCTTGTAGGAGGACCTGGTCAGGCCCTGGAAGTGCCAAAGTCACGTGACTATCCAGTGGCAGGTCAAGTGGTTCCAGGGCTGTGATAAGCGATTCATTGCTTAAAGTAGGTCCATCGCCATTATTACTTGACGTGAACATGTTTCCAGACTGTGACAGTAATAACCAAAAGTGCAGACTGCTGAATTGTTTCCTTCTGGAGGCCTGAAAACAATACAAGTGACCACAGAAAGCCTGCAAACGCGCGATTATATGTCAAGACAAAACAGTGGTGTAAACTGCAGAAATGAATCTTCGTTGTTCGTGCCGGAAATGTGCTGTACAGTTTAAGATAAAGACCTCTTTCCAGAAGAATTATTGCGTAGAACATGCAGACGTCAGCGCGTATTTACGAGGCTCAATTCCTTCATCTTAATTTTCATAATGCATAAACAGATACCCAGTACCTACAATATGTAAAACTTGTCTCACGATAAAGAACAACATTCTATTGAACGGAGAAAATGTAATTGGTTTAGCTTACCTCCGCCATAAACTGAACACTGCCATCACATGCAATATCCACAATTACTGCCAACCGGTAATATTCAGTCTTCAGTAACGAGGGCGCATCAACAGATTGACCCGGTAAGAATACTGACACTGGAATTCCTTCATCAGATAAAGTCTTATAAAATGACGTTGCAGCTGCAAAGGCAAAATGAAAATGCTTCCGGGCCACAGACTATGCACATATAAAGCACTATCGACTGTAGAACTAAAAGGTTCATCACCGTCGCCAGCCACAAAAACTGACTACTAGATCTTATGCCTGGTCACTCACTACAATTTGCAATTAGACAATAATTTCCCTTCTGTCTACATCTTGGACTAAAATTTGCAGTCTTTCAATTAGAATTTTAAACCAAACCCTTGATTTTATTTACTGTATAATCCAATCAAATACGGTTCACCCACACCACTCCCCTTACTCACCCAAGAGTAGCAACGCAGCGATCAAATTATTCAAATTATGAAGTTCCCTGTTACGTAATATTGTTTCTTCCTGTTTAGGTATTTGACTTAGCACACAGCTTATTCTGTACGCTCTATTTCGTTTCACTCTGGTTTAAAAAAAAAAACATTTTCGCTGTCGCAGAATCTACTTTGTTGAAAAGTGTACGTGTCTGGATATTAGTAGCATAAGATCAAAGCATAGTTTATGAAAATATCAGGTCGTCATAAGTTTCTGTAGAGTTATTTCTCATTTAACATATGCAATACAGGCTGAAGATCGGGCTTACCTCTTTGGTGACATAAGAATGATATTACAGATGATATATGGTTGTGATATGCGAAGGCTCTAACTGTAGCCAATCTGTTATCACAAACAGCGTAACAATGCATCCAGACCACAAGAGATATCAATAATGTCCCAAGTGTTAGCCACATGAACGTGATATATTCAGAAAAGTAGTGATATCTAATTTAATTTTAAAATACAAATTTTAAATGCTTGTAATAAGGAACCAGAATCTTAATTATACTTTCCTTCATAAAGAAATTCAGGCCCAGTTGGTGATTAAATGAGGCAACACAGATGTAAGTTAAATTAAAACATACGATTATACAATTAGTGAAAGCTACTTTGCAAGCATCTGGTGTGTCACTGGTGTGTTTCGTAGTGACTTTACACAAGTTCGTGAATGGAATGTAAAGACTACGTTGGATTGGCTGCAACAAAGTATCCAAATATTCTACCGTAAACATGTGTACCCACTACCCTTGACGTGTGTGTAAGTAATCGCCTGTAATGATTTATTTAAATATCACTTTCATGGGGACCTTTGAAGAACCCACGTATTAGACCTATTCATGCTCATTATATCGCTGTTGTCCGTAATATCTCCTTTTGTACTCTGAGAATATAGCAGCGTAAATGTAGACTCCAGTTTCCAGCTTGCATATCGTATTTTTATTTTCGAAACCCGTCCTTTGTGGTTTTTCAACCATTCATATTGATTCCAGTTCATCACAGATATAAATCTTAGTAAAGTTATTTACAGTAAGTATACTATTTTATGTTAATCGATATTATATTGTTGACACGGCCTATCAACAATATACATAATATTGCAAGAAAAGCATTAATTAATATACTTGGATTCCGTTAAACAAGCACAAAATCGTAACCTGCTTCGAGGTGTAATTAATTATTCTAGGGCTACCAGCCGTGTAAGGTGGTTTAAGGAAGAAACCACCAGCGTTTCGAGAACCTCAAGCATCAAGGTGATTTATAGGTCTAATGAAATCAAATGAGAACCATAACGAATTTGAGAGAAGAATAAATTTTGGAAACAAGTGTTTTAACTAATCCTTAAACCTGCTGAAATGCCACTTCGTGCACCACAAATCTCACTTGAAGTCCCTCGGAACTGAGCCCGGGTTTCCGAGTGAATAAAAATGCTATGGATACATTATATTCAGTCCATTATTTATCCGATCTTTGATAAAAATCTATATTTTGTAATCTTATTTCAGTACTGATATAAAATAGAAATTGGCAATACAATTCTTTAGCCTTTTTTGCACGATTTTATTGACATAGTTAAATTATGATAACACGATTATAATTAACTTATTTTTCACAGAAACAATTGCACATTCAAAATATGTCACTTGCAAGAAGTATTGATCTCGTCAATATATATTAAAATATCCTTATTTTACAAAACAATTTAATTAAAACCGACAATAAGCATTTGCCACTGCTGCTAATAATACAAATGGAAAACAGTTACATGGTATGGAAATATGACATATATAGTTAAACTAGCAACGTTAGAATATACATACGTTGTTTTCTCATGCTACTGAAAGTTGTATAATGAATATTTTCAAGGAAATAAATACTACATTAGTTTAGGAATGATAAGTTCGATTTCGTCCACTTGCCTACTCCAAGGCGTGTTTTATATCAAGTTCAGGTACACACACTTTCATAAACAGGGTTGGTTTAGATTTGGTTTGGATGTCAGGATAATTTAAGTTAGGTGAAGTCAATTAAGTTTAATTTATTTCTCATTGTTTTGTTGATTCTCGTTTCATCAAAACATAAACTTACTGGAATTTACCGTCACGTTTCGTTGTGTTATTGGAATCTTATGAGGTTCCAAGGTAATATTTGTTAAAAATACCCTTACATTTCAAGATGTGGATTGCTTTATATAAGTAATTCGTGTATAAAATATGCAGAAACTTCCAACATGATAATAGAACAGTCCGTATGCACAAGCGGAGACAAAGGACAATAATAAAAAGGGTGAGCAGTGCCCAAACGTGGTCATTCAAAAACACGTATATAGGCCTATGTGTACATATAGTATAAGCATATAGATATATTCATTCGTGTGTATCTATATCATATTCTTAAAAATAGCTTACCTAAATGCCGATAGAAATAAACATGGAAAATGTTTCATATGCTGTCGTTGGACTCTGTCTGGACAGTTCTTCCCTTCGATAACGTAGCCCATCGACTAAACTTAAGCAAGGATTAAAAATATCCACTTACCTTTTACCCGTGTTCTTCATTGCCACTGCGTTGTATTATATGTATTAAGTTAAAGTTTAATAAATAAGTTCCAGCAAATACTCCCACACACAGTTAAGCACACGGAATTACCCTTTTCCTTTGCAATCAATTATAATTTTAAAATTTAAGAAATAATAAAATCGAAATTGTATTAATAAAAATTATATATATCACTAATAAACAAATGTAAGTATATATAACGTTAGATTTACTCCACTTTTAAATTACAAATGTGTAGATCCAAAGACCATGTGCTCTGATATCTTGCAGAACACAAGCAGCGGTCTGTGCATTGGCCGTTGTTTTCTGAGACTGAATACACTGAAATTTATAAAAATCGCAGCAGGTTGTATTTGACTCCTTAAATTGTCATGTCTTCATAGTCACTACCACCGCCTTTCGCTTGAGGAAGAAAGTAAAAACCTGTTTATTCTTTTTCTGGCTGCAAGGTTAAAGAGCCTCTGAAATGAAAATTAGGTCACGAGAGTATAGTTCAATGCCAGACCTGAGTACAGGTTTATTGCTTACTAAGTGTGCATGGGAAACTGAAATTATACCTGGAATAACAGATGTGTATTAGAAATCAAATCAAGGCCATTGATATATGAGGACTCGTAAAAAGCTTATTTGGAAGGCATGAGCACTTTAAATTTAAGTGCAAATTTACTCTCGTTTGTAAGTGATAAGGAAATGCTAGTGCTGACTATACTTCAAACACTGAAGCTTCTGGTACAAGACTTCCGAAACGAGAGTTCCTACAGACAGAACCAGACCATAAGCAAAGACCAGCAGAGCCGGGTAGAAATCTTGTAATCGTACGCTCTTAAATCCTTCAACGTTGCCATGACACTTGGGTTTCTGCACGATCCAGTATTTGTATTCTCGATCGGATATCCCCGATTCCTTTAACCAACGTGCCCTGAAACATAAAAATATGATGTTATAAGTTCGTAACTAGCTTCTTATTTGCGTCGATGGATTAGATTCTTTAAATTAAAATGATTAACCCCCCCACGGGATAAAGACGTATTGTAAATCGTTCATACTGCTGTGATGAGAAAATGTCGCATAACAGGTGAGTGGACTCTAGTCTAGTGAAATAAATTCTGCAAGAAGTCTGCCGTAATCAACGTATCGTGAGTACTGTGAGATATTTAGGATTTGAGATATTGTTTAATTTTATGATTCATAAAAATGAACTCGCCGTTGTCTGATGTGCTCTTTAAATGGACTACCCTTCTGCACAACCAGAGCTAACTGAATTGTTGAAAACATCTTAATGTTCTTCAGTCTACACTTTTCATGTTCTTCGTACGTCTCGCTGATGATTTTGAAAGCATCTGCATCACCATGAAATGCGTACAGTCCTTCACGCATTTTCTCGACCCCAACCTCTGACGTAGTGAAGGCTTTATGGTAAGGCTGGGTGAACAGGTGCTTGAAGTATAGGTTCTTGATATCAGCGTCTGTTGTTTCCTGGGAACGGTTACATTTTATTAAGCCGATATAGTTACAAGCCGATTCCTTTTACATGCAAAAAAATGTAATTTTAAGAAATGTATAATTGTAAACTTAAGTGAGTACATGGTTAATTACAAAACTGTGTGAACAATAAAATGTTAGTGTTAAAACAGTGTACACAACTTGGGTTCAATTGTACTGGTCGCAAGATATCTCCGAGCTTCGTTGACCGTTACAAATAAGCACGTTGAAGTCATCCAGCCTAAGAACGGGAGGAAGTGGGAGCAATAGGGCACCCACTTGTCCTTTTTGTCATTTCCCTTATTGTGGCGTAGGTCAGGCTCTGAGATATTTTGTGTACAGTATATCAGGAATTAATTAATGTTCCGAGTCGGGTGGGAGGTGAATGATATTGGCTCAGGATCTCGTATAAGGGAGAGCTTTGGTATTTTATTGACCTTTGAGTAGTACTGCATGAGAATCAGTTAATAATAACAGGTATGTGGTGAGGACGTATCCGAACTCACATTAACATAATTGATGCTAGTGGCGACGTCATTCATGGCAAGAGTAAACGGACTGTTCATAAGGTCCTTTAAAGAATTAATTGCAGTGCTGGTTGTCTGCAACAAGGATACAATGATGGCCGAATAGGATGTAGTGAGAAAAAGTGACAATAGCAGAAGGGACAGAAGTATAATCCTCGATGATATCCTCTGTGGGTCGCGAGTGGTACCTGCAAGTGAAGAAAGTCGACCTTTCAAAACACAAAGCACGTATAAACATAAGTGGAAAAGGAGTATATGTACGATTTGAGGTTTTAACAGCGGTGAGTATGAAGATTTTTATCTTCTGAGTATTTGTAGTTTCTAAGGTGGCTTTCATATATATTATTGCACATACAAATTTACTATTGCAAAGTTAATCACACGCCTTCTTTAATCCTTCATCAGCTTTTCACGTGACTTTCTCATCGCTCTGATGATGGAGGTAGTAAGCATATCCGAAACGTAAATTTCTGCGAGACAACAAGGTGCAACATCCCAGAAGACAATTATCTATGTACTCGACGCCGTAAAAATCTGAAACGTCACTCAATATTAAAAAACATTGCAGAAGGACAAACCTTCTTGGCAGATGATTCCAACGACCGTCAACAAAGAGTCACTCAATGATAATGGTTGTGTTCCTTGTGACTCATCAAGTCCACTTTCTGCTCGTTGGGTGACGTAGAGAGCATAAGAAAAAACAGCCATCGCCACGAGGTATGTGACCCACACAGCACGACTGAAAGGAAGTGTGTAGATGTTGGAGACGTCAGACAGAGACGGTTTCAGGAACAGAAATGCGCCCCTGTAACAAAGCGAACAAAGTATAATGCTTAGCTTAAAAATGTAATAATTTTATAAAAAGGTATACAAATGGCCAGCCGCGTGTTTCTTTACCAAAAATAACTGAGGTATAACATCACCAGACCTACTCGATTTTGGATATTAACATTCTGTATAACAAAGTGTTAAAGCTTGCATCTAAATGAACGTTTAAAATTCCGATATAAAATAACATGATGGCTGTGTGATGACGAATCACAGTCATCTTTATTTGACATGTGATATGTGTACAGTGACCCTACTGCAAACATCCATGAGTCTAGCACTGTTGTTGAAACCTACAAATAAATAATCTCTGCTTGCTGTAAAAAGCATACGAAACCGATAAATACACTTTTAGACAAACGCAGAATTGTTGATTGTTAAACCAAATGGTTACCATTTACCAGTTACCACCATATTTTAGATGGTTAAGCCGTAGATGTGTCGACAGGATTATGATTGATGAAGCATGTAAGCGTTTGGAATGATTGTGTAGTGGCGTACCTGAGAACGCTATCCTAGGCCCATCCTGAAGGACTTTCTACTGCAGTTGTACTTACTCATAACACACCGTCTCCCCTGCATAGTCAACGATGTCCATTCGCGCTGTCTTGTGCAACAGACCGACGGACGACACTTCTATCTCTCCACGTTGTAGCAAACCGATGACTCCATCATAATTCGCCGTGTTATTGACTGGGAACCCCCACGAATTCACTGGGGTTACGTTCGTCCTGAGAAATCAGTGTGCAGAAGTGTACTCGAATTTGGAGAACAGCCCTACATATTATTATTTTCAAAATGTGCTCCTTGCTATTTTGTACAATCAGTTTGCCTATATATAGGTACATGTTTATTGCAGTTGACATTGTCTTTATACACAAGCACTGCACCATAGATTCACACAGGAGAGCAGAAGCAAACATCGAACCATTCTCGTGCTGAGCACTAAATAGAGATAAACTATTTATTGAAGATACAGTAAACTTAATATAAATAAAAAAATTATGCGAAGGTAATAATAACACTGCTGACTACACACCGTGAAGAATCAAAATATATAACATAGCGACAATTTTACATTTTAATCACAGTTTAGTGTCACAGAAAAAATTTGCTTGAACATTACCTGAAATTTAGCATTCTGGACAGATGTTCCACGAGGATATAGTGAAATTTTGTCAGGGAGTTGATGTGCTTATAGCGCCAATTCAAGAAGTTTTCCCACGTATCTCCTATAACCTGAATAGTTTCACAAATTTTCATTTATTTAAACCTGAACAAACATACAATAGAATCAGTCATACACTTAAACACCATAGGCCCATAGAAGAAAATTTAAGACACGTAAATAAACAAAAGCAGTGCCAGAACGATTGTCAAAATAAGTACAGAATGAAGATGACTGACCTAAAGTTGAGCCCAGTGGCCTCGCAGTTTCGGGACCAAGATCTTTTCAAGCGCACACTAGGATTGCGAGGTCGCATTTAGCCGAAGAGCTTGTGCGTTTAATTAGCGCGGGTCATTATTAGCGGTACAAAATCATTTCAATCTTGGACTTTGTAGTCCATACCTATACCACACTACATGGACAGTCTCTCACACAGTTAAACAAATATGTATTAAAATTGATTGTAGGAGATAACTCCCATTAATGAGCAAATCCGGAAATTCAGGAACCATTAAACACTATAAAGAAGAATATCTGTATAGTTTAGTAAGAGAAATATTAAAATCAATTAATTACTAGTAAACAGAAAATAACTGTTTTCTGGGATGTTAATCCGTATAGTCTCGTAGCTATTTACAGACGTTTCAGAGATGCTTAGTAGATCCATTATCAGGACGATCGCCCTGACGATGGAGGTTTCATCCCAGAAGACAGTCATCTTCATACTCGCCACCATGAGAAACTGAAATCTCAGCTAATACTGGCCAGGGTACTCACAACAGTTGCTGTGTTTAATACGATTCCACCATAATTGTCCCTCCGTAAACTAAAAGGAAATGGCTGTCCTGGAGCCCAGTCACAAAGCGGTGTGAATATGAGAGGCAATCCGGATTTAATCCTATAAATATCCTGCAGTAGAACCTGGTTCACGTCAGCTCCTGGTCGTGTTACAGTCACCTGACTGTCCAGGGGCAGATCCAGTGGTTCTAAAGCAGCGATGAGTGCATCTTCATGCGGTGTAGACCGCGATCTCTCTTTGGTTGAGATCAGTGTATCATCAGACTGTGTAACATGCGTATTATTCCTTAACTGTGCTATGGTATCACCATTTAGTTTCACAGTTCGCCCAGAATTTTCATAAAATCTGAGGATCAGCCAGTGGTGAAGTTTGCTGTATAACTTCTGCTCAGAAGCCTAGAAGTAAATATAAAATATACTCGTTGGTGTCATAGTACATTTAAAGGTTACAAGTATCTGAATCTATTGATAAAATAAGATTTCAGCCCCACTCACTATATCCTCATCTGCATTTCTTGTTACCAAAGCCGCCACCTTCAGGACTCAATATACATTTTTTCTAGACCGCACGAAGGGTTCACTCGTCCAGTCACGCTAGACGGACATTAGCTCTTATATTAGGACGAGATCTCTTTTATGACACTGTTATTGTATAAGGAAGTTATCGGTGTTGTATTGACAATTTCCTTGCTTAATTTGTCTTCATCTGTTATAGAATTGGTTTGCATATGTATCCTGTTATTTACTTACCTGTGTTAGAAATCTGGTGCTATCGCTACACTGCCAGTCCAGCACCACACCCAGTTTATGGTTATCCACAGAAAGTAATGAAGAAGCTTCCACTGCGTCACACTTCGTCTGAACTTTTATTCGTATGCTTTTGTCTGAGAAGAACTTCATGATCCTTATATCTTCTGGGTTAGAAGAATATTGTCGCATTACAGGCAAATGAAGATGGTTTTTATTAACTTATTTTAGCACTATACGAACTGTTTGATTGATTCTTAAGTTATTCAACGACCTTCTTCAAACAGTAGAATAACATTTTAATAATATTATGAATGAAAAAGTAGGCCAGTACTCCGAAAAATTCGGCAGTGGCCTGTTTGTGATCCTTAATGTCATCATTTTCAGTTTCGTGGTTAGTGAAAAGCCAGTTTATGGTATCTAACCTTAAAATTAATAAGACGAGAAGCAGCCTTCCCCTTGTACCGACATCAGGACGTCCTTGACCTGCTACGTGCATAGCAAAATTATGCTTACATCCAAGAGTCAAACTAATACTATCACGGAATTTGCCTAGGAAGACTAAGGAAAGTCTCGAATCGTAATCAGGATGGACGTTATTCTGGCAGAGACTCAAACTGGGTACCTTCCGTTGTCCGTACCCCAGCTATGGAGGTTATGTAATATCGATGGGATGTTATGAATTGCTAGGGGCTCGAAGGAAGCGACAATGGTTTGTTTTAAGGCAGGTCCGACAATCTCGCCTTTCACGCACCGAACTTGGTTAGCATTTCTGTTTCGTTTATATGAAGTTCCCGGTTCGAATCTCAACAGATAGACCAGCCATCCTGACGGATGTTTTCTCAGCCCCTTTTGACACATGAGAAATGAAGAAAACAATTGAGATTTCTCTATGAATTCCTTCAGTATAAATCTAAAAATTTGTAACGGCAATGTGTTGTGAAACTAGTACACAATATGGACAGGACGATGGAATAAGCAGAAAAAATTAAAATTCTTGTTGTGTTTTCAAAATACTTCACCGAATGATACCTAATTCTCGGGAGCAGTCTTTCTTGAGAAGCTAACAGCCATCTTTCATGAAACCCGAGACTTATTACGGTACCCACAAGAGCCCGCCAGCGGGCCCTGTAAGCCATATGAATCCAATCCAAGCCCATGTTCTTTTAACGAATATTAGCTTCCATAGCGACAGGAAATTTTATCTTGAGATGAATGGCTATAAATTTATAGAGGAAGACATTTACTACAAAGCTCTAGTTTGTTAGTTAATACATTATTTATTTAATATGTTAACATATCTATAATTACCTGCTGTCCGACAGTTGATGACGACTGCAAAACTTATTTTGTTTTCGTACAGAAACGACCTGATGAGGCTCAGAGTGTTTCTGCTGACAAAATCTGCATAAACCCCTGTTAATGTATTATGAAAAGCCAGAGAAAATCCAAAATACACCCACCAATAATTCATTGTCCCAATTTCAGCAATTCTAAGCACTTTAATGTAACGATGTGTCTTCAAACACATGAACATGTTCTACGTAATGCATACGTTCTTAAAACTGTCATGAATATTCCTCAGATAAATTTAAATATGTATTCTGTTATATTATTACCAAGAAACTATACAATGAAATGGAACTTTAAATCTGAAAAATTAGTATACTCAACGATTTTAAATAAAACTACACATCACAATACAGTTTCATGCAGCGATGATGACAAATAAGAGCACAGTGTATGAAACCAGCCACCGTTTATAACCTTTTCGTTCAAGAAGTGATCAGCTTAAACATTCAGAAGGTGTATAGTGTTCAGTGACATTTGATTTGAATGTAAACATACAAATCTTAGCAGCCTGTCTTTCCTTGGCACACAAATGGAGAAGTATAAATATTTGTAATCATATAATAGTGGGCGATTCTTAGATTGGATTTATTGAAGCAGTTCTGTCAAATGTATTATGTATATATGTTTCTACTGGGATTAAATCCATAATTAATAAGTTAGTTGGTTTAAAGCTGACTGAAATGCACTGGTCATAATTTACAGAAAAATAAACAAAGGAGAGAAAAAATAAAAGAAAGCCAACTTGAGGGATCAAGGAACTAAAAGAGATTAAAGGTGTCTAAGAACAGGATGCTGATGAGAATCTGCGGGCCTAAGAGGGAGGAAGTAGGAGGAGGGAGGGGAAAATTGCATAATGAGCTGCTTCATAATTTTTATACTCTACCAAGTGTTACTGGGGTGAGACTAGTTGTTGTATAAGCCTATGCGATTAAGGCAATAAATTAGTAATAACAGTCAGAATTATGTGACGGAGGCTGAGATTGATGAAGAACATCACGCGTTGGGAGAATGTCAAATGCAGTTTCAGTCTAGACGACTTGGAGACCTAAGCGCAGACGGATCTTCACGAAATAGTTGAGAGTGTGAACTAATTTCATTTCGCTCAGGGTAGAGTTCCATAAAATAAGAGAATTTATTGACTAGCTAAGTGATTATGACGCGGCTAGTCACCTGAGACTGTATCGCATGATAGCAGTATATTATTCATACAAGACCGCCAGGATTCGGTCTTCATAATCTCGTTTATAAAACCGTGATGCATCTCGTAAAGATAAGATATATGAGGTAGGAAATTTAGTTGGGCATTCCATTTTGTTCTGCTGTGAATAAATCCGAGACAAAAGGCTAAAATATTTCAGTGATATTCCAAGTTGCGGGCCACAACTCATAAATTCATGTAATTTTGGTTGTGACTGAAGACTGTTAGAATTGTTAAAGTAAATTGGAAATAATAACAATATTCAGCATCACAGTACATTTTGTATGTATTTGAAACTAGTAAGTGCATTACATACATATACGCTCTTCGATTGGCTGAGAAATCTGATTAGGTACACACCAGTTTTATTTTAGTCTGGTTTATAATATTTTAATTGTAATTACTTAAATTTCATCTACGTACCTTCTTTCTTTAACTGTATAAATAATCGTACATTGAAATATTTACCTCGCACAACCATAAGGATGTAACGCATACACGTCAGCACACAATTATTTGTAGTCCTTTCGCGGGCAATAACGACAAAGTGATTGAAGCATGAAATGATCACTCATCTCCATCTAGTGCCGCTGTTAAGAATAAGTGGAGTTTTCCTCCACTCCCATACACTTTTATGGTGTGGTGTTTAGGTACGGGAACAAATTGTGGTACACAAATGCATTTTGTCAAGTTCAGCGAAATAATTTTTAAAACTGACACCCACTCTGTATGATTCAAACTTTGTCTCTCCTGGATCACAACCCCAGCTACATGTCCTTATCAATCACGTTTTATCATTTCAGTGATACCTTTGCGGTTGACAAAGGCGCGACACTGTCCTAGTTCATCCATTTTCGATGTTTGTTTCCTAATACAAGAGTATTATCGTGGTTCCTTACTGGGGGATGGCTGTTTCTGTCTCGTTGACCATATCGAAGTTGAATCTTGTCATAAAATATCTCCAGGACGAGAATTAAAACAGAAAACAGAATACCATAAGCCAAGACAACCAGAGCTGGGTAGAAATCTTGGATTCGCACACTTACGAAACCCTGGCTATTGTCTACACACTTTGGCTTTGGATGATACCAGCGTTTGTACTCACGACCAACAAAACCGATTTCTTTGATCCATCGAGCTCTGTAAGAAATAAGGTAACACTAATGCTTCTAAATATCATACAAATATACACACAGTAAATTATTTAGGCGATTACATGAGGAATATTGAGAAAGAGTATGGCCGTCTTCTAGAGATTTGCGCCATGTAGTCTCGTAGAACTTCACAGAAGACTCATCGCCCTGATGATGGAGGAAGCAAGCACCTCTGAAACGTCGGTAAACTTCTCCCAGACTATACGGTGTAAAAACGCAGAAGAAGGCCATCTTTAAAAGCCATAAGTGTTAAATTATACCTTTGTTTAAGCAAAATGACTTGTCAACAAAATTATACGTACTTTCTTGCAAGGTGTTCCTTGTATTGGGACCCCTTTCTTACGGGGTAAGCAAGACAATTTGTCACAAAGACCACGATCTCTTTGTATCTGCATTTTTCATGTTCTTCAAGGGTATCACTCATCACTTTGTAAACATCTGCGTCCGATTGGAAAGCATGTAAGCCTTTACGTATATTTGCGACTCCAACTTCATTAGACGTGAATGCCTTATCAAACGGCTGTGTGTAAAGTTTTTCAAAGTAAAGTCTCTTCACGTCTGGGTCATTTGTGTCCTGAAAAACACTTGTTACTTAGAAAGTATATACCTAAACATTTTACTGTAATTAAGTTAATAAACTTGGGCATAAGTTAATATGTAAAACTCTGTAAGAACGTCTTTACAAAGGATTACGATATTTTTTTATCAATACAGGAGTGGTATAAGTTCATGAACCCTTCAATTATAGCCTTTATATTTAAGTCTTCTTATATGAACTGCAAAAGAATGGATTGCCACGGGGTAAATAAACACACCCGACTGACATTTCACAACTTTTCTCTCATTGAATTGAAAATAGAGTAAATTTTTGAAGAGCTTTCTTGGAATTGTTTGTAGTGACATTTTGTATGGAGGCAGATCTAAAGCGTACTTACAAATTATGTGTTAAATAAATAATTCAAGAATCGCAAAGATGATGGTGGAGTTAGATTTTGTCGGGCAAATTGAACGTAATCAGAAAATGTGCTAATGCTAATTACGCACAAAAATGCACCCGTGAATTACGGTATTATTATTTGAGACTGCTTACTAACATAATCATACAGACTGAAGCATCGTAAGAAAAGTACGTGACAAATTTTCCCCAAAACTCGGTTTTTACTTTTCAGATTAGTCTTTGAACTTAGTTCCGAGGTGAGCTATCCTGACTAATATTCACTATAGTTATTTAAAGTTGTAATATGGTGTTACAACCCAAAAGACAGCTATTTTCGGGCTCACGGCCGTGAAAACCTCAAATCCTACTTCTTTAAGGTTTTCTCCGAGTAAATAATGGAATAATGACATAAAATAAACAACTTTTCAAAATTTCCCACGTTCAGAATCTACTGACATCTTAATTAATATCAATTGCTACTTGTATAAAGTTACAAACAAAATGCTAAGTTCGTTTAGATTAGAGATGCCTAAATCTTATTTCAAGCAAATAAATTAATATAAGCATACTTACATTGACGTATGTGATGCTGTAGGTGACATCCCGCATGCTGAGCTTAAACTGGCTGTTCATCAGTTCCTGCACTGAGTTGATTGCAGAACTACTTGTCTGTAGCAGAGATACTATGATCGCCGAATAAGACGTTAACAGAAACACCGACAAAAGCAAGAGAAATAAGAACACGATCCTGGACGAGGGTTTCTCCGGAATTTCCGAGGCACCTAAATGAATTCAATAATTTAAATAGGCTAAAAGCCCATTTGAAAAATCAGACAAGGTAAAATATCTCTTGGTATAACAAGTGTATATTTATTTTCTCTGTGACTGCAGTCCTGATAAGTCTACTAATAAAGCGTAAGCAAATATAATGCAAGAAGTGCAAGATCTGTCGCATTCGCGGCGACTGAATGCAACAAAGTATTCTCGGGCGATCGGCCGCGTGAAATCGGCGCTGTAATCCGTTTCGTAGTTTTCTCTACCTCCAGTCTCCAAAACGTCGGATTACAAGGCCGTTCGCTCAAGAAGATTTCATTGGTTCATAATGCAGTCAATTTACCGGGAGGAATTTAGAGAAAGCGTGTAGCTAGAACAATGGAATAAACCTGGCCGAGAGACAGTGAATGAACGTACTTGTTAGGAGAACATACAAGGGACGTACCTTGCTGACAGACAATGCCAACCGAATTCAAAGCAGCGTCACTCCACCTCACCGGATGGTAATGCTCCGATGGCGATATGGCCTGTTCGGTTCTAATTGAAATCACCAGGGCAATCGTTAGAACGGCTACTATGAGGGCGTAGGTGATCCAAACCGTTCTGCTGAACGGCAGGGTGTATATGATGGACATTTCGGAAAGAGATGGCTTCAAGAACATGAAGTTTCCCCTGTAGCAAGAATTTCATGTCCACTTACATTCTGCAGTACTGTTCGTTTCCTTCATAACTTGAATTGTATGTGTCCTAGACAGTCCCAGGAAAATCTACAGCCTGCAGTGGTGGATTTCCTTTTACGATAATGTATTATTTTATGGTTTATTTAACGCTATAAGTAACTCAGATTTCAGACACTATACCGACATTTGCCTCTGATATGCTGAAGAAAAACACAAAAAAACCTTTCAGGTTAGCCGGTGTCTGCATCTTATGGTACATTAATTGAGTGGGGCGATCAAACTCACACGAAAGGGAATGCTTCTGCAGCGTAGTCGACTACATCGAGTCGGGCGCTTTTGATCAAAAGAGTAGTGGCTCCAATCTCAACTACGCCACGCTGCAATAATCCCGCTATCCCAGCATACCGCTTGGTACCATTTATAGGAAAGCCCCAGGCATCAGAAAAGACTAATTCCATCCTGAAAAGAAATGACACAACACACAATTACACCGAGTGATCCTCTCGTTAGAGGCAAAACCACGATGTATGCAGTGTCGACGATCAAATATAACCTCATTCCTGTAGAGAGAGTGGTCGCACTCGATGTTCGTGCACAAAGACACCAGGCTACAATTTTCTTTTGTAGATCGAGTTATCTCAAAACGCCTTTGGCCGGCAAAGCCCCAGATTTCAAATCCCGCAATATTTTCATCGTGTGAGGTCTAATGAAAGGAAAGATCTACATGTAGAAGCTTCGCAACATCGGAGACCTCAAAGGAAATATTCGTCATAGAATTGACGTCTTTATTGTGGGCAAGTTACGCGTATTCGCCAATTTGAGGTATCGCGCCCAATTAAGTAACACGGACAAATATTCGCACCTGTTCCATTTTAACGTTCTTGAAATTAAGAGACCAATATTTTATCTCCTGTGCTAATTAATTTACACTCAGCCACATTTTATATAATTGACAAATTCTACACGAGCTTCATGGAACGTTAACCGTTACAGGACATTGAACCGACACGAATCAAAATTAAATTCACCTGAAACCTTTTATTGTAAACTCGCAATACAAAATTGAATCAAAATCCTTTTAGTAAATACATTACCTGAAGTTAAGCGTCTCAGCAAGGTAGCATGTTAATACGTAGCTCAGTTTACTCATAGTATTTAAATGTCTATATCTCAAGTCCAGAAAGTGCTCCCATGGATCATCAATAACCTAAAAGAGGAAAATAGTGAAGAAAGCATAATACATTTTTCACTATAAAGATTAAAACTACAGCAGTTACAGCCATGTTAAGTACAAAACTTCACGAAGAAGTGGCCGAACGCAATCTTTAAAATTCGAAGGCAACGAAATTGGAAAAATTCTTCTTAAGAGTCTGAAAAATACAACCTAAGTTTTCAAATTTCGACTTCTGTAAGACTGGGCCATGCGCCTCAGCTTCAAGGCAAACTCTTCGTGTGCGTTTTGTCAAAATATGTTTTACATCTGTGTGAGTTCTTCAACGCTAACAAGCTGATGAAAATGTATGTGACGTGCGAACTGCTTCGTGACTTTGGAAAACCGATGTCCTGTGCCTGCAGGCTTATAGTTTTTGGCCATCCTGATCTACGTCCACGTAGCAAGAGTGAGGGAACGTTCAGATGGGCGCAAGAGGCGATAGAAGAAGGGGAAAAATAGGAAAGTCCTCACTGGGTCCAGCGACTGTGCCGTGATACCCCTTTCGGCACTCACAGCGACACCAGCTCTGAGCACTATGTTGTTAAAGTCGTCCCTGCGTGGTGCAGGTGGCAGAAGTCGTCCAGGCCTCCATTCACGTGCAGACGTCACTGTGAGTGGCTGGGGGGGGAAAAAAAAGCCTGTACACATCCTGCAGGAAGACGCGGCCAGGTCCTGGACGTGCCACAGTCACGTGACCGTCTAGTGGCAGGTTCAGTGTTTCCAGGGCTGTGATCAGTGGATCGTCACTCGAAACCGGAGTCTCTCCGTACGTCGACAACAACAACCAGAAATGAAGCCCTCTGAAGAAACTGCGGTTTGAAGCCTGAAAGATTAAGAGACGTTTAGGTTTACAATCAGTTGGCTGCAGAAAGCTGTTGTCGGCCGAGTAGTTATTAATTACGCAGCTCCATTTTCCTTGGAAAATAAGACCAAACCACAGAAAGAAAGCGTTAAGTTGCCGAATCAGTAGGCATCCGAGGTAACGTGCCGAAATACAGAGCACCATCACAGGGTGGAAGGAGTATGAAATATTGGTTCTTCAGCAAGTGGTGATTCTGTTCATCTCTTCTAAACGAAAATGTGTGAAATAAAAGAATATAATTGCTAGTCTGCACTACACGTCGCAGCGGGGCCTAAGAACACTAATTCCACTACTTTAATTAACATTGCTTATTTTAATTTCCATGTAAATTTGCGTACCTTTTCATGAAATATTATTACCTGTGGTATGTAAGAATGCAATTAATCTATATGACTCCCAGATATAAAGTCAAATGTATATTCACAGCAAGAAACGTGTTAGTTGCGTGCACTGACCCACCTTTCTCTTATTCCTTTCATGATTCAACAAATTTAGCGTGAATCTATCCTGAAGAACGGGTCCAACTGTTATTTATATTCAAACAGAAGAATGGGTAAAATCCTGACGAATACCTTTGATGCTGATTACTGTAGATAATATTGTAAAGTAAAATGTTCTTAAGTTCAGAAATAATTTTTCCTGCGGTATTTAATTATACATATCGAATTATCAAGAATATAATAAGCTTTCGGGCAAGGAAACTTCGTAAAAAACTTAAGAATTTTCGAATTTCCCCGCAGTAACACTGCGGGCTGTTTGCTAGAATGCGTACAAATACCAAGGCCAATGAGGTACCTTAAACAGCAAAAAATTCATATGGAAAATTTTACCCCAATATTATTTCGTTGAAATATTCATTACATTTTTTATGAAAATGTGTGGAAGACCTACTGAAGCTGTTTTGATTAGCGTTAAGAAATTTGAGCTTAAAGCATGTCCCATAGACGCACAGAAATATCATTTTACTTTCTTTTTAAATTTGACACTTAATGTGTTTTGCCTCTATGTCAACGAACGTACAGTCAGAAAGAAGATGAATATCATTCATTTCAACGTACACCCAAAAAGGTCTACTTGCAATATATGTATTAGCCATTCGCCTAAGTGCAGGAGTCAGAGGCATTTGATATTATAGTAATAAATAAATTATAAACAATTAAACTTCGTTGTTACTTCTTATTAAACAGTACAATTTCCAAACATGCCAACAGCAACATACCTCAGCTAAAATCCCGAAACTTTCTGTGCACTGTAGATCAACAATGACGGCCAAATGGCTGTACTCCGCTTGCAGCACAGAGTAATTCACTGCGTCTTCAGAGTGCTCAGACATTTTCAACGGCACATTCTTTTTCGATAAGCGCTTACCTAATTTCAACTGATCTACACAGAAACACAGAAACACAACAACAGATACTTTAGTGGAAACAGTTTTGGGTCCCACAAATTTAATAGTAATACAGTATTTTATAGGGTGATTACCTGGAGGCAGAACTTCGGGAACATCTTCTACAGATGCCTAAGTACGTTTTACATATATACAGGTATATAATTTATCAACAGTTATACCAAGCATGTCAAAAACTCTTCGATATTTTACTCGGCCCGATACAGTTCACGAATTACAAATGATGGATGCGTCAAAATTTCCCAAATTTAACAAAATTTCAAATTCAAATGCATGTCAAATAGCTACTTATCGTGACGCCGACTTCTAAATATAAGCGAAGACAAGCCATACGACAATTCCAGCATACTGATGAGTGATAATATAGCAGAGAAACTCACAAGAAACATTAAAAAATGCAGACTCTTAGAGTGTCAAGCAACTGGGGTACATATTTTCCAAAAAGCTTAAAAGGGTTAATAAGAGCGCTGCACATTTATAAAAAATATATATTGCCATAAAAAATTTCGGGATATTAAATTACGTGGCATTGGTTTCCCTCAGCCTCAGAAGTTGTGAAAAAAGTTCGCTACAACAACAACACAGGCATTTCCGGTAGATACATTTGCAAGTGTGATGGCACATTATGAATAGAGTTTTACTAGTCAGAAAAACCAAGTTCTGTAACGCATCTTATTTTTTTAAATACAGAACTCTGCAGAGTACGCATATGTCTACTTTTACCTTAGTTAAACGTACAACAAATTATAATAATTGCTATTCTTATACATGAAAATCTGACACGTGTGAACTAATGAAATAGCCAGCATTCGATACTCCAAATAACCTTAAAATGTACTGTGCCTTATCAGTTATCTGAATCAGCTAAACCAATTCAAACAAATTTATTAAGTATACAATTACCTGCCTTCTTCCAGCAAACCATGGCTACTGCGGCTTTCAGTTTGTTCTCAGTTACATATTCACAGATGAGGTTAATAGTAATATCAATATCCATACCAGAAGCGGGGTAATTAATTATTATTACCAGAGCTATAAGCAGTAGCCACATTGTAACTCCTCGTACTTGCACCTTCAACACAAAGCAACAAAAACATATCGAAAGACCCAATGTCAATTTTTATTGTCCTCTAGTGTTGTAGGTTATACGTTGTACGTAAAGCCTGCATCAGAACGCACATCGTATCTGGGACGTGGTGGTACCAAGCAGAACGACAAGTGATGATGATGATGATAAACATATCCATAGTTTTAAGGGACTCAAAGTGGTGACCTCAGAATTCGCATAGCGTAAGTCTCAATCCATAACATCGTGCACGCCTTCAGTTATATTGAAATGTACTTACTGTTAAAATCTCCAGATAATTCCTTCTTCTCCTTCACAATTATTCCTGCAAACTACGTACGCCTATATGCGAAAACAGTAACTTCAAATCACATAAAATTCGTTCTTAGTCACAATAAAATTAAATTAGAATATAACAGCAGTACAAACAGGTAACACCGTAAGACGAATGACATTTAAATTCGCCTTTGTGTTCTCTCAGATTGGATACTGTACTCTGAACTCCTGGGTACGCCTTCCTGAAATACGACGCTATTTTGTTTTCTGTCGTAACAAAACTAACTTCGTATAATAAACATCATTAAGAGACACGCAGTTATTGTAATACTTTATAAACATCATTTCGATATAATCGGAATTTATTTTAACGTACGAAGGGTAAACAAAGGGGGAGAATGGAAATGGTTTATCGCTGCAGTAAGTCGTCTGATGAATACGTGTGGTACAAGCCCGAGTCTCTGCTGTATAAATGGGTCGGACTATAGTAAATTAAAAATTTCGCGACTTTTCTACAATCTCTTGTCTGTGGGATCATGCTTTGGGGATACATTTTAGAAGCTCAAAACTCTCTCCGGGCCGCGAGTCGGAAGATAAAATAAAAATTATTTACAGAAAGAAACCGAATAACTTTCGTTCTATTTTCAGTTAACATAAATATTGGTGTTAATACAAGACGAGAGGTACGATGACTATTCTTATAACTTACGCTTTTAAAGTTACAAATGGAAATTTTAACTCCAGAAGACCTTGCAGTACATCAAAGTTCAAACGAAGGAATATGAAAAAAGTAGAATTCATACGTTATACTGTTACATGTGCTATCAACCCACCGTTCTTGTTGGCTTTAACACTTTAAAGCCTAGTGGTAACTATACGTACCACCTACTTTAACTGCATTTCGTATTTACGATTCTCACTTTAAACAGGGATAATTTCATGTACAACGTTAACAAGTTTAGCTTTGCGACGGAGAAGTGTTGTTTTCTTTGAGGTAAGGCCTGAATTCTGAGCTTCGGCTTCAAAAGGCTAAGAATCACAATTTTTATTTCTCCTATAAACATTGCTTGTTGTATACAAAGGTCTTTACCCTCACCTTCGTCGGCGTTAGAACATGCCATATGAAGCAAAATTTACGAGTGGGAGAATAAGGACACCGAATGCCATATTGCACACAGTCATGAAGAGTACTGAAGATGGCTATCTTCTGCGATGCTACGCCGCGTAGTCTGGTAGAATTTGACAGACGTTTCAGAAATACGTACTGCCTCCATCATCAGGACGATTAATCGTGTGAACTAGTCAACTAACAAAAATGCCAACTGAAACGTCAATCAAATTTTACCACATCACGTGGTAAAACACCCCAGAAGACATACTCACCGTTGTGAGAACCTGAAATCTCACCATAAACAAGTCTTTGCATTTCGTTAAATATACTGCAACTAGCATATATAGGTGCTCTAGCCCACTGCAAGCCCCGGTCTTTCTGGAGAACGCAGATGAATGGACCTCCAGACTCTATCTCTCTATTATGAATATATATTACGTACAAAGAACGCATAATAGCGCACTTCAGTTCTGAATATTTCCCAAATCCGTCCTTCGCGACATTGTGTAAATCACTGGCTTCGAAGATGATTAAATTTTTGTATTATTTAATGACGACATCTCAACTAAGTCATATAGAACTGACGGCTGGTAAAATCACGCATAGGTGGTAGGCAAAGATTTGGAAGGACATCGCCATGGCCTGTTTCAAGGTATTTATTTGAGAAGTTCTTCGATATGATAAATATTTAAAGAATTTCAAGAAAACATTGTCAAATATTATGCAGCACTGCAATCAGTTTTGAAGCAACAGATTTGTATCTGGAATAATAGATTTACATTTGCAATAAATCGATATCAGGGTGTCAATGAGGTATGTCAAATCGCAAATAATGCATTTTGGAAAATATGTGTACGCCATGATTCAAGTGACTCGAAGTTCTGTATGTCCCGCATACGTGCAGAACAACTCAAATTCCTAATCTATAAATTTAAAAACAGTCTCTACATAAAGATTTATCGAAATTTCTGTGTTATAAGACTTCATGCTGAACATGCGGACTTTTCTAAGTTTGACATCAGCATTAATTTAAAAGAACTCTAACGACAGTGGACACGAATGCAAATAAAGAATTTCTTTCATCTTTGATCCATTAAATAAATAATGTCCACGTCATACCTCGTCTGTCGTCCTTGCAAGTCTGTGAATTTTCTTGCAAAAGCCCCCATGTGTAAGCATGCAGTAGCAAGAAGTTTCGTATATTTTGCTGTGAGTTATCAAGTCACGGTGAATTTGGAATCATTCGCTAAATAATCAATGTCAAAGCATCGAGCTAGTGCTAGAAATACAGCAATATTTGAAGAGAAATACAGAGTTTACAGTCTTGTCTTCTTTTCTCGAGAATTACGTTTTCCGGTTTGTTCTTCTGTGTCTATTTGTTACTGTCCTGGCAGGTGGCGTGACTTGTCTGACCTAAATTGACATCAGGCAAATGAATGCAAAGCGCAAATAGAATGTTGGTGGCTTCCTAAACAGATGCTACTTCTGGATTCAACAAAGTGCATTTGTCACGATGGGAACACATAACAAATTAAACTGTTTATTTGGTGTGCAGTTAATCGCTGTAATCCGAGTCAATGGAAATTAAACGCATAGAAAAGGGGACTGAATTCAAACTGAATGCGTTATTTCCGCAATGTGCACATAAAATGATGAACCTGTTTCGACCATTCAACGCCTCACCTATGAAACTACTCTACGTTCTGAATAGGAACACGTTGGCTTATTTAATTCGCTTTCTCATTTGATGCTCGGGAAGAATTGGTTCGGTATGCGCTCTCCTTACAAGCGCCAAAGGTATCGCTTCGAATGACAAGGGTGATTATAAATTAATGACGAACTGATGCCTCAGATGGTCAAATAATCGTCCCCTATTCAAAGTAACTACTCTAGGGACACAGGAAATGCGATATATCCTGAGGCATTTCAAGTCCAGACATGAATATGACCGTATTCTGGGATGTTCGACCGTGTGGGCATTAAGTACCTTTGCAACGTCGGGCAATTTCTACGAGACTACACGGTGCAGCATCTCGGACGATGGTCATCTTCACTTTCACTCCGGTTTTTATGTCTCGAGGCCATGACTAGAACACTAACCTGTACATCGTGGCATTACGTTATTGAACGTTTTTATTTATATTTATTTAGTGTTCTGTCTGACGACAGGTCCATATGAACAGGATCCTTCCATCCTTTTCTCGGACTGGGACCTGTTCATATACGTTCTTGGCAGATGATCCAGAAGTGGTTTGCCATTGCCTTCTGCTGTGTGTGAATGGAGTAATTGTTGGGACGCCACGGAGGAAAACTCCGTGTTGCCAAGACCACGGCCTTGCCCAACACAAGTTAAAAATTCGG